AAAATAATCAAAGTAATCACCCATGTAATCGATGCATCTTTGCAATAGCAGTTTAGTGATGCCCTTCTTGAAAAAATCCGGTGAAGGGGGGAGGTAACAATTTCTTTAAAGGTATTTTGTACTGCCACTCGGGTATTGAATTTTATTCCCGCCAAAAAGTTATTTAAATTCTGGAAAAAGTTGAAGTCTCTACGTCTGAAGGTAAGTACGGCGGATGACGGGAACTTCCAACCCAGCTCTTGTAACTTGGAGACCATCTGTTGTGCAGTATGAAGTCGCGCGTTGCCGTACAGGAGCAGCGGGGACGAGCGATTGGCCATAGCTGATTGGAGACGTGTGAGTTTCTCCATCATTGTATTCAGTTATCCACAGTACACATCTGCAGTAATGCTCATCCTGTTTGCAGTGCCTGATTTGGAGTTCTGACAGCCCTAGGCTAACGAAGAATATGTGCCCCCACTGGCCTGTTCTGTCTGTGCATGCCCAGTTAGAATTGCACAGTTATGGTGTACCGCCAAGCATCCAGATCGTGTGGTTGGTACGTGGAACTTAGCGGCTGAAATAAATCCGAACAATTTATCTAAGTACTCTCCGTAGAAAATGCGATAGAAAACGCAACATTTCTTCGCAGTGCCAGTGAATCGAGCCGATCAGAAAGAACTCGGTGGTTAACGATTTGAGTCACTCTTTGGTATATGCGGTCAAGAGGGAGGAGATGTCACTGGGTTGCCCCGGTCCAGAGCTAAAACAGTACTCCATGTGAGGCTAAACTTACGCGTTTTAAAGTTGCAAACGGTTGCTGGCAGAATATACTGTCCCGCTATGCTGAGCACGCCAAGCATTTTATAGGCCTATTTAGCCTTCTCCACCAAGTGAACGCAAACTGTACGTCATTCGATATGTCGATACCGATGATTCCGATGCCGGCTGAGATTGAGAAGTTGAGGAGATATGACAAAGGGGTTCTTTTTAGTGGTAACTTAGCAAACCTGTGTCTTCTGAAGTTTAAACTGGACTAGAGTCGTCCCCAATCCGATATTTTGTTTATAAAGACTGGACTTCAGCCACAAGTTTGTTCCGATACTAGATGACGTGTCCCGAAAAATATTAGCACGGCCGGTGTAAAATTCATTACCAGTGTTATAACAAGTAACAACAACATATAATTGATATACAGAAGAAACAGCGTAGCATAGGTGATAACAGGTTAACAGGCAGCCTTGTGGAACACTAGCCTTAATAAGCTTATAGTCAGTGTATGCACCATCTACTACGACCTCGATACTCCGATCTGCAAGAAAACTGATGATCCAATCGTACAATTTCGGAAAGATGTTGTCGAATATTTCCAATTTCATGCTTGCATGTGCACGTAAAACTGGTATATATTAAGGGCAAGCAAGGGGGGCGCCATAATTGGGTCTCGCTCCATCCTAAAACTTGCCTCAGGCCGGCACTGACATGCGCAGACACTTAACAAAATAAAATCACCAGATGGAAGTTAGCGTAGAACATTCTTTTTTTTAACTAAACTGTATGCCAATTAATTGCTCCATAAATGCTCCAGCAGAATCCGAAATTGCTCCACCTCTATTGTTATTAATTTATAATTAATTTTAAAAAAAAATTATGTATCGAAAATTTAATTTTGCTATAAAATATAAAATATCTACTTTTTAAAATTAAACTGTATGTCAATTAATTGCACCTTAAATGCTCCAGCAGAATCCGAAATTTCTCCACCTCTATTGTTATTAGTTAATTTATAATTATTTTTTAAAAAATGTAAGTATCGAAAATTTAATTTTGCTATAAAATATAAAATATCTACTTTTTTAAATTAAATTGTATGTCAATTAATTGCTCCTTAAATGCTCCAGCAGAATCCGAAATTGCTCCACCTCTACTGTTATTAGTTAATTTATAATTATTTTAAAAATAATGTAAGTATCGAAAATTTAATTTTGCTATAAAATATAAAATATCTACTTTTTAAAATAAAACTGTATGTCAATTAATTGCTCCTTAAATGCTCCAGCAGAATCCGAAATTTCTTTAGCTCTAGTGCTATTAATTAATTTATAAATAATTTTTAAAACATTTAAGTATCGAAAATTTAATTATGCTATAAAACATAAAATACTTACTTTTTAAAATTAAACTGTGTGCCAATTAATTGGTCCTTAAATGCTCCAGCAGAATTCGAAATTGCTCCACCTCTATTGCTATTAGTTAATTTATAAATAATTTTAAAATAAAATAATTGTCGAAAATTTAATTTTGCTATAAAACATAAAATATGTACTTTATAAAATTAAACTGTATTACAATTAATTGCTCCTTATATGCTCCAGTAGAATCCGTCATTTTTCTGTCTATTGCTATTAGTTAATTTATAATTAATTTTCAGATAGAGTGATTCTATTTGAGTAATAGCGCCATCATCAATAGAATGTAGTAACATCCTATAGTTAAAGTCATTTTATCGAACAAAAATTGATTTACTATCAAGGTGGTACGTAGAAATGACTCTAGATGGCATAAACACAAAAATATTATTAACATGGTTGTCTAATCCATTCATAAGAATCCTAAGGAGCAATTAATTGTCATGCAGTTTAATTTTATAAAGTACATATTTTATGTTATATAGCAAAATTAAATTTTCGACAAATAATTTTTTTTAAATTAATTATAAATTAACTAATAGCAATAGAGGTGGAGCAATTTCGAATTCTACTGGGGCAATTAAGGACCAATTAATTGGCACACGGGTTAATTTTAAAAAGTAGATATTTTATGTTTTATAGCAAAATTAAATTTTCGATACCTAATTGTTTTAAAAATTATTTATAAATTAATTAATAGCAATAGAGGTGGAGCAATTTCGAATTCTACTGGAACAATTAAGTACCAATTAATTGGCAGACAGGTTAATTTTAAAAAGTAGATATATTATGTTTTATAGCAAAATTAAATTTTCGATACCTAAATGTTTTAAAAATTATTTATAAATTAATTAATAGCAGTAGAGGTAAAGCAATTTCGGATTCTGCTAGAGCATTTAAGTATCAATCAATTGACACACAGTTTAATTAAAAAAATATATATTTTATGTTTTATAGCAAAATAAATTTATCGATATTTATTTTTTTTAATTAATTATAAATTAACTAATAACAATAGGGGTGGAGCAATTTTGGATTCTGCTGTAGCATTTAAGGAGCAATTAATTTGCATACGGTTTAATTTTAAAAAGTAGATTTTTTATATTTTATGGCAAAATGAAATTTTCGATACTTAAATTTTTTTTAAATTAATTTTAAATTAACTAATAACAATAGACGTGGAGCAATTTCAGATTCAGCTGGAGCATTTAAGCAGCAATTAATTGGCATACAGTTTAATTTTAAAAAGTAGATATTTTATATTTTATAGCAAAATTAAATTTTCGATACTTAAATTTTTTTTAAATTAATTTTAAATTAACTAATAACAATAGACGTGGAGCAATTTCGGATTCTGCTGGAGCATTTATGGAGCAATCAATTAGCATACAATTTAGTTAAAAAAAAAGAATGTTCTACGCTAACTTCCATCTGGTAATAAAATTGCACCACTTTTACATATCAAAATCCACTTCAAACCATTATTTTTTATACAGGAGCAGCAAACCGCCGCCCATCAAGTTCCCGCTAAAACTCACAAATACAATAGCAAGCTAACCTAATTTGCACACAGTACTTTTTTATATAAGGAACTAATTTGTAATTGTGTCTATAAAGTAATTTTATTACATGTCATAGTATGCATATTTTTACCGAGATTTTTTATTTACACTTATTTCTTACATTTTGTTCAGAATATAATACCTGAAACAATGGCTAGTTTTTTTTAAGGAACTAATTTGTAATTGTGTCTATAAAGTAATTTTATTACATGTCATAGTATGCATATTTTTACCGAGATTTTTTATTTACACTTATTTCTTACATTTTGTTCAGAGTATAATACCTATAACAATGGCTAGTTTTTTTAAACAATTAACATGTCTTTATAATAGGTACTTTAAGCCCGCTTTTTACTATGGGATATAATGTAATATATATATAGAGATATAAATTAATATCGCTCACCGTACTTTTTAATGGAACTGTTTACACTGAGATGTAATATAGATTACACCTCATACTATAAATATTTTTTCAATCGACCGGGTGATATTTTCATATTATATTTCGCCCCCTGTACCCCGCACTCAGTTGCGCGCCGCCGCTACGTCATCAATTTCGTGTCTGTCATAAACGTGAGTTCACAGAGTACATTATACGTCAGTTTCTCTATCTAGTCTGTGTCTGTCATTACCTTGTCATTGTCATTACCTAAATGAACTTTTGTGTAGTGCGTATACAATACAAAAATGGTATTCGTAACTTTTCTAAATAGAATTCATTAAAAGGTCTTAATTCGCCATATCCCTCTAAACTTAATATGATTTCATATCCAGTATTGACGCTCCCTGTTTTTACTTAAAAGTAACACACATAAACCGAATTCTGCATCATCTTCCTATGATGAACTGTCGAGGCTATCAAGCAAAACAATATCTATTTTGTTTGAAAGACAATTTTGTTTGTAAACGACGAGTGCAGTATAAATAAAATCTAATGACGAACGCACACTGTTTAAAAGATATATCTCACAGTGTGAAAGCCAATCGCGGGATATAATTTAAAATATATCTCGGGATATAATATGTTTTATATCCTATAGTGAAAAGCGAGCTTTAACACTACGTCATTTTAAAGATAATAACACTAACTTATATGACGTATCTACTATCTAGTATCTACTAGTAGTTAAAAGTTATTATGCTAAAAAGTAAAAAGCTATTAAGTTGATAAAACGTGGTAAAACAAAGCTGAAAGTAATAATTTTATGGAACATCCGTGAAAAAATTTATTCCTTAATAATTTTTGTCACTTCTTGGGTTAAAGATAATGGAATTATTAAAAAGTGTAAAATACCAGACAATTCATCCAAAAAAGTAAGTGCCGTGAACAATTTTTTCGTATGAGTGAACACTTCTAGAAGATTTCAAGGGTTAAATGTTTACAATATATTTAGTGACAAAACTGTTTTCATAATGTAGTTAACTCTACATAAGAGCCACTTTCTACTTGTCCAAATTGAATTTTGTTTTTGCTCAGACTGATGTTGGTTAGCAGTTTCTAAGTGATCGTAGGAATTTCTTTACTTATAAAGTCCCACATCATAGTCAGGTTGCACTTTTTAGTACACAGACATTTACTTTGTAACCTGGTATTGTTCTTTTATTGTTGATAAAGAAAATTGTATTTTCTACTAATTTAATTTATTATTATTTATGTATACATTTCGTTTTCGCTGCTTTTCTTTTATGAAATGTATACATACATTTTTATCAACATTTTCTGACTGAAACTATGTCAAACAGGATTTTCACAGAATTCAAGTAACCTGGGTTCGGTCTGCACAGGCACCGATGAAATTATTAATTGCAATTTTAAATGCTGATTTCATGCTCAGCAGTAAAGGAAAACATTGTGAGGAAACATGCATGTTTAAGAAATTAAAAAGGAAGGTTTGCCAACATGGCAGGGCAAGGAAGTGTCTATAGAGGCAGTACATTAAACACTTCCTTGCCCCTAAAACTCAAAATTCATCAGCGAGGCCAGGAAGATCATGCCTGTGCTAGTGTTTGTGGGACATATATAGGCTGTAACTTTAAGTGGCATTTACAATGTAACTTAAGCACACTAAGCCTGCTGGCTCCTAACATATACTTTAAGATATTATTATATATTTCTAAAGTGGCATACCAAACAATACCAACACATCCCTTTTTGAAAGCTTGTGAACACATGTTTGGTTTTCTTCAAAATAACAAGTTATTACTGGAAAGAATAATCTAATAATAAGAATGTAATATCCTCTACCCCATATTGACCCATGGGAGTTGTAAGAGGTGACAGAGGGAAATTGAAACAGGAGGGCAGCAGCATCTTCCTAATAACAACTACAAATTATAAAAAACTACGGTGGTTACTCTTGAAAAATCCCCTTTATAAGGCAATATATTAGAGAAGCCTCTGTCCAGCGGTGGACTTTATAGGTTGTAATGGAAGAACCGTTTTTTTATAGGAGACAAATGAGCACACAGTCCACTTGATGGTAAGTAGTTGCTATGTGCTGTGGCCCATAGACATCTACATCCATCCTCAACTACGAATCAAAATGCAGATGCATTGTCACCCATGTGGACTAAGATAGAATGCCTTGTTTCCAGTAAAAAGGGTCTCCGGTTCTCTACACTCACCGCCATTTAAATATTTTACTAAACAAAACTATTTAAAAAGGGATATTATAATATAAATGAATACATGGTTACGTATACCATACAAAACACCAGCATTAAGCTGCTATTTTACAAATGTATTCTGTGAGAGTGTGGTCATTCCCCAATCGAGTCGACCCATTCATGCTACAACTATGATACTGATATAGCTGCAGCACGGCTACTATGTATAAAGATATAAAGAGACAGTATAACAATAGTCACTATCCCTTATCATTTAGACAGAGGAAAACTGAAATAGAAGATGAGTAGCAGCATCTCCCTAATAATATCTCAAAATAATATAAACTGCAGTTTCCAACATGCATGATAAGCTATCTGTGGGGGAGGCCTATGTTCAACAGTGTAATTTTATAAGCTGTAATGGATGGACAATGGAATCATTATCTTTTTTTTTATAGGATCGTGTGATAAACGAGCACACAGTCTACCTGATGGTATGTGGTTATTGTGACCCATAGACATCTACATCTATCCTCTATTACAAATCAAAATGCAGATGCGTTGTCATCCGTGAGGACTAAGATGGAATGCCTCTTTGCCAGTAAAAAGGGTCTCCGGTTCTCTACACTCACCATACGTAACACAGCAGCGTTAAGCTGCTATTTTACGCTGGTTTTCTGTGAGAGCGTGGTCCTTCCCCGGTCGAGCCGACCCATTCGTGCTATAACCATAATATAGCTGCAGCATGGCTCTACCACGTAGCTGATCTTATAATGATATCTGATCTGATCTTATATCTTATAATGATCTTATATGAATAAAGAGAAAGTTTTTTTGTATGATTACAATTATTAATGGAAACCCCATTTTGTTATTGTATTTTCTGCCGACTTCAAAAAGGAGACGGTACTCAATTCGACTGTATGTTTTTTTATGTGTGTTACCTCATAACTTTTTACTGGGTGAACCGATGTCAATGATTTTTTTTTATTTGAAAGCTGGTATTTCACATGTTGTGGTCCCATATGAATTTGATCAAGGTCAGACCAATAGTTTTTGAGTTACTCTTAATAATTTATATTGAAGTCGGCTGTACAAAATTTTTAATTTTAAATTATCTTAAGACAAGACCAATATATGTTTTAAAATTTCAGTAATGTAAAACTACTGTAGAGAGGTCCACAATATATTTACGTGTTTTCAATCCTGCATCTGCAAGCATGGTACTTGTTTTATCAATCCTTGAAATGTCAGACTGTTGACCTTGTTTAGACATTTTTGAACTATTATAGCTTAATACTGAAAGAAAATCCATTATGGTTGATTTGATACAATTTCATGCATCATTTGTTTTGTTTTTTCAATTCAGTTTAAAAATGCAAATGTGTGGCCACCATACAACAAAACAAAACATTCATAAACAAAATTAAAAAAAAAAGGTATTAATATATTATTTCTTAGAAGCTTAATATCTCTACCTCTACATACCTACTATAAAAAAAGTCTCCTTCCGCCGTCTGTATGCTTAGATCTTTTAAACTATGCAATAAATTTTGATGCCGTTTTTTCATCAATAGAGAGAATGATTCAAGAGGAAGCTTTATATCTATAATACATGCTTATTATATAATATACATATATAATTCTTCTGTCCATGTGTATTGTATGTGACTGAATTCCTAAACAGCTGGTCCAAATTTGATGAAATTTTGTGTTTGTGAAACACAAAATTTAATTATAGAAAAGTTAATTATAGAATTGCTTAAATTCACTGTTGGACCTAAATCATTATATATTACATAATTCTTCTGTCTGTCTGTATATGACTGAATTCCTAAACAATTGGACCTAAACTGTTATATAATTATATTATTTGTAATTCTTCTGTCTGTGTGTATGTGACTGAATTCCTAAACAGCTGGACCGATTTTGATGAAATTTTGTGTGTGTGATTAAGTTGTTTAGAGGATAGTTTAGATTCACAATTGGACTCGGTAGGTGGCGCTGTTGTCGAGATCCAGAAATCAACCGTGTGAAGCCGGGGTGAATCGCTAGTTTTTTTTATTTAAAAAACATAACCAGGCATGTAAATAAGCAATTTTATTCCATAAGAATCAAAGTATGGATAACTTTAATATCCTTTTATAAAAGGAAGGTTATAATTTCACCAGATATCTTTCTAGAATAAATGAGCGCACAGTACACCTAATAATAAGTAGATGATGTGGCCCATAGACATCTACATCTATGTATGTAGATGTCTCTACATCTGTCTTTGATTAAAAATCAAAATACAAATGCATTGTCACGCCTGAGTACTAAGATGGAACGCCCCACTTCCAGTAAAAAGGGTTTTTGGTTCTCTATACTTACCATACGAAACAGCAGCATTAAGCTGCTACTTTAGACTGGTATTCTGTGAGACGCTGTTCCTTCCCCGGTCGAAGTCGATAATAAAAAATAAATATTCGCTGCCATATAATTATGGAGTGTAGAGTAGAAGGAGAACCATCTTATAAGGTGCGAAAGTTGAAAAAGTGTCCTACTATTTACTGAAAATAGAGGTTCCAAAACCTACCACAATAGCGCTGGCGTCTGAAAAACTACGATATGAATATAGCTGTTGTAGACGGAGTGAAGTCAGCTGAATTCAAATATTTAAAAAATTTCATGACTAGAGTGGTTAGTAAGATGCCAGTATACAAAACCTCAACTATTTACGTAGTACAAAACCAAGCGGATTGTTCGGGCCTTGTTTATCTTATTCTAATTAATTTTGGTGCTTTTTTTTTAATTTATCCTATGCTACTGCAGCACCACTCTTATTGGATGCATTTTAGGGACACTTTTCATATAGGTACAAAGATGTCCTCCTTCTACTCTACACTCCATACATATAATGCAGAGCGACCGTGGCGCCCATTATACTCGTATATTTAGCGTGTGTTTAGCGCGATAAACTTTACAACGCGCAGCGTGGCCAGGCACCTTTGCGGTAGGGCGAAGGCGAAGTTTTATCGCGATGTGTGTGGCCGAGGCGTTAGAATGATTTTTGTTATATATTATTTCATAAATCATAAACCTTTATTTGCAAGACGCTCACGGTATGAATAGATGATACAATTTATGTATATAGTTCAGTCGTGTTTCGCTAACAATAGCATGCAAATTATAACAATAATAATTTTAAGTATTAATAAATCTAAAAACATAATGTTAATAATGAGAGCATCCACAACTTTTTCTGTCGCCAGGGCGGAGCCACTTTACAGTGAGGTAAAATATTTGACAGATTTCATAGCGGGGAAGATAATTTCTTAGGAAAATGTAAACTTTAAGGTTTCTTCCCGTATCATTAGTAATATTTTATGTTGATTAGAATAGAAATGAATAATCCAAACTATAAAATATAACTAAAAGTAGGAAAATTAAAAAACGAGTATAAAGTGCAAAAATTAAAAATCAAACTACTGACGCATTTTACTGTATTTTAATATAATACTCTATATAATGATAAACTATTATTTAAAACTAATTTCTCAATTAATTGACATTATGTAACAAAATATTACCACAGTCACAACTAGCGACATCTGTTGAGTGGAAGAATATTAGCCATCATTATCTTAAAAATCTTTTAAGCCATAAAAGCATCTAATTTTTAACCAATTATACAAATGTTTCTTATATAATCTTTCGCTTAATAATTTAAATTATTTAAGTAGTTTATTATATATTTTATGCACATATTTATATTTAACGAGCCTAGGAAAAAGTCTATTCAATACGTGGTAGAGCCAGGCTGCGGCTACATTATAGTTGTAGCATAAAACAGACTCGACCGCGGTCAACGCTCTTACAGAATGTCAAGATAAAATAGCAATCAATGCTGCTGTGTTTCGTGTGCTGAGTGTAGAGAACCGAAGACCACTTTTTACTGGAAACGAGGTATTCCATCTCGGTCCTCAGAGATGGCAACGCATCTGCGTTTTGATTCTTAATCGAGAATAAATGTAGATGTTTATGGGCTACAGCATCCACTTACTATCAGGTGGTATTTAAAAAAATAGTTTTCTATCATCCCGAGGTGGGTACCAGCCAATTTGTCTGTGACCGTGCACCTGACCGTCCCCTACTATATACACCTATGTGTGTAGACTATACAAACCGGAAGTGTGCGGTTCAAACTTGACTTTGACAACTCCGTGGCGCACTGGCTTAGCAATGAGTTGCAGCGTTGGGGTACACGGGTTCGAATTCGGCACGGAACAAGTCTTTGCAAGGCCTACAAATAATTGTACCGGGTCTGGATGTTTGTCCTTGTGCAATTTGTGTTTGTAAACTGCCTCTCTTCTCTCTCTGTACGAGATCCTTGACTATGTTGTTTTGAAAGCGTAAACAGACGGTAGTTTTCCACTGAACAACTCTGTGACTGTGAGGCCGACCCATCCATTTAGTTACAATCAAAACAATATTAAAAAAAATATTGAGATTGTATCATTTGAAAATTGTAAACTTTAATTTGAACCCGTGGGTTAGTTAATAAAAAAGAAAAATAATAATAATTTAACAAATTTCAAAACATAATAAACTCGCGGTCCCAAAACACTTACTGCGAGCCGTCGAAAGACGCTCATTCGTGTAATTATCATTTGAAATGTTTATTGCATTAAAAATACCATTAAAAATTATTACGCAATAGTCTCCGCGTCCGTTTATTCTGTAAAAAAATATAATTATGTATTGCAATATTATTCAGTAGTTGTAAAGACGACTGCGCCTGTGTTTGAACGTGGTATACGTTAGTTGCGGCTCTAATATTTCCTTTGTAATAGCTTCTTTTAGTATTTTGACATGTACGCTACTATATATTGGAGCAGGTAATTTAGTATAATAATTCTCCATAATTTCTGAACCAAGTTTATCGTTATTACAAAATATTAAGTGATGTAGATCATTAAGCTGATGCGGTAATGGGCCGGCTATATTATGCTTGTAACTGGAAGAATCGACAAACGATGGGGAAGAAAAGTTCTCGAGTGGTATCATCCTACCGGCAATCGATGTACAGGGCCACCCACTAGATGGAGTGTCCACCTGGTAAGAAATGCAGAAAGTCGATGGATGCAGGTGGCTCAGGACTGTGCTTTCTGGCATCTATTGAAGGAGACCTGCTGTGGACTTGTGATAAATTATCTATCTATTATATATAATTATCATTAATTATCATATCGTTGTGAATTCATGGTGCAGTGAGTAGTGTTGTTAGAATTATAATGTAATTTGTTGAATAGTAAGGTAATTTTGTAGCTGTTGTTGAAGCTGTGTAACATTGTTGAAATCTAAATATAAAATACAGTATTGCTAGACAGAGAGAGAGAGAGATAGGTAATTTCTCTTGCCACCACGCTCTCACAGAATACCAATTTGAAATAGCAGCTAAATGATGCCGTGTTTCGTATGGTGAGTAGAGAACCGGAGACTCTTTTTACTTGTAACGAGTCATTCCATCTTAGTCCTCAGGGATGACAACGCATCTGCATTTTGATTCGTAATCAAAGACAGATGTAGATGTCTATGTGCCACAGTATCTACTTACCATCAGGTGGACTGTATGCCTGCTTGTCATCCATATAATCTCAGACAAACGAATAAAAATAGACGGAGCCTAAGAGTATACATAAGTATAGCATGCTTTTTTTATATATAGTATGACAAATAGGATGACAAACGAGCACACAGTTCACCTGATGGTAAGTGGTTGCTGTGACCCATAGACATCTACATTTATCCTCAATAAAGAATCAAAATGCAGATGCTTCGTCACCCGTGAGGACTAAGACTGACTGAATGGCTCGTTTCCAGTAAATGATCTCCGGTTCTCTACAGTCACCATACGAAACCCAGCAGCATTAAGCTGCTATTTGACGCTGGTATTCTGTGAGAGCGTGGTCCTTCCCCGGTCGAGCCGCGCCATTCGTGCTACAACTATACTACTAATATTAGGTCCTTACATATGAAATGAGCGTTTTGTCGTACTGACCATTTTGATCTAAAATATCTCCTCTTTGGTTAAGAATTCCAAATTCAAATTTATAAATTCATTTAGCTGGTACATTTGAGTTTTGGAAACAGTCATTCATTTGTTTTTTCCTAATGATTTTTTTCTTTAACGTCGCTTATTACCGCACAATGGAAAACATGAAATATCGGTATATTTACGAATACGAGTTCTACCGTGGCACCAGTGCTGCAGAAACAGCTCGAAAGATTAATGATGTGTACGGGGCTGGTGTTGCAAAAGAAAGCACGGTACGTTTTTGGTTTCAACGTTTTCGTTCTGGATGTTTCGACCTTCCGAACCAACCCCGTGGACGGCCGGAGACAAAGTGGAAAATGAAGAATTAAAGGCTATTGTGGAAGCGGATCCATCACAAAGCACTTCAGAGATAGCTGCAGGCTTCGGGGTAAGTGGTAAAACTATATTAATCCACTTGAAGCAAATCGGGAAAGTAAAAAAACTTGAACGATCGGTACCTCATGAATTGAGTGAATCGAACTTGCAAACACGCGTCGATTGCTGTGTTACTTTTCTCAACCGACACAATAATGAAGGGATTTTAAATCGAGTTATTACTTATGATGAAAAGTGGATACTGTACGATAATCGGAAGCGCTCGTCGCAATGGCTGAACCCTGGAGACCCAGCCAAATCCTGCCCTAAACGAAAATTGACTCAGAAAAAGTTACTTGTGAGTGTTTGGTGGACTAGCACCGGTGTCGTTCACTACAGCTTTCTAAAATCTAGCCAAACGATTACGGCAGATATCTATTGTCAGCAACTGAAAACCATGAAGGAAGAACTAGCTGCTAAACAACTGAGATTGTTCAATCGCTCTAGGCCACTGATGCTTCACGACAACGCAAGACCACACACTGCACAACAAACAACCACTAAGTTAGATGAGCTACAATTCGAATGTCTGCGACATCCACCGTACTCCCCGGACCTTGCTCCAACAGATTACCATTTTTCCAGAATTTGGACAACTTCTTACAAGGAAAAAATTCAACTCCGATGCGGTTGTCCAAACCGCCTTCTTTGTTTTTTGAATTCTCGCTCCCATGGTTTTTTTAGTAAAGGGATCAATGAACTACATATGAGATGTCAAAAGTACATAGATAACAACGGTGCATACGTTGATTAATTAAATGTATTTTACAAAAAAAAAATGACTTTATATTTCTCACGTACAAAACGCCAATTTCATATGTAAGGACCTAATATATGTAGCTGCAGCATGGCTCTACCACGTATAAAATATTGCTTATGTATACTCGTATTCTAAGGACGAAGTCGAAACCGTGTTCAACTTCTTGACAAGCACACATCTTTCTTGTTTCTTTCTTTATCAGCCCATTTAAGTTCACTGCTGGGCGCACACATATATGCACCTATAACCTTTTTTGTCATTTAAGTGCGTAAACACGTGTTCTTGCAATAAGTTAAGCATGGTTTTGAATTCGTTTCTATCTATTATTATTACTATTCTTCTATGTTAGTCTATCTGTCTTTATTGGTCCTAAAAATCCTATTGGGCTGCAATATATAAATATTGTTAAGAGCTTGGATTTCGTGACAATTAAAAAACTGCCGATTGAATTACCAAAATTGACACTTTAATTACAGAACACAATTGTACTACTGATCACTTTAGTTCGCAGTTATGTCGCTTCGAAGTATTCTGTTGTATCGCCAATTCAATACTGAATCGGTCGTGGTCTATACCGGCTTTATATAGGGCCTCAGATAGTTTCCAGAACCTTCTACTGTAGAAACATCTAGTCTGTTCGAGTACATATCGGTCCCGAAATTTCTAGAAGGCTCTTGATTCTCCTAGTTCTACTACTTGATACTAGAGGGCGCTAGTGGTAACTAGTGTTGCCATGTACAAGACATTAATAGTGGCGCGCAACAATATAATAGGCCTAAATATCCTGATGAAGCTGAGACAGTATCTAAGGTGTAAGAGGTTTACCAAATCGAAAATCCACCTGCTTGTTAGTATTTCTTTCCAGACTTGGAAAATCACTAAAATTCTTCGAAGAATAATTTTAGTGATTTGATTTTTTATGGGTGAAGAGGCACAGTTACCACAGGATAACTTTTCTTTATCTCGCTTCGACAACGAACCAGATAATTTTAGATTTTTTTATTGAGTTGGCAAAATTATTAATAACATCTAATGTATAATTAGTGATGGGCTGTAATTAATGATGGTGATGATGATGATGATGATTGTGTCACCCAAGCTTCTACATGTAAGCAATATTTCAATATACGAGTGAAGGAATAAAAAAATCTGAACTGCAGAAGTTGCTGTTAGCAGTCTTATTTCAATAACTACTTAGTTTATAAATAATCATTAGTCTCGGGATTATTTAGGGGGCAGGGGGTAGATTTACTAGGGGGTTGTACCCCCTATGCCTATTCAAGTTTTGAGTAAAACACAAGGTTTTTTTTGCAGTGTCAATGCGGAAACATCGCCTTCTCACATCCTGTCGAAGGAACAGCTAAACTTCTACCAGGAGAATGGCTTTCTGGTAATCAATGGGCTAATTGACTTCGGGTCTTTATACAATTTGAAGTAAGTAGTTTGTTATTTATTACACGGAATGGTTATACTTACATCTATCGAGAGCCACGAGATGGATATCATTTAAGTCCTCAGGGCTGACAGTACATCTGTAGCCTTTCTAGATGGTAGAACGACCAACCCCACGAGAAATCCTGACCCATAATATCTCGTGGGTGTCCCATATAAACATACCACATAATTTGTCTGTGACCATCCCCTATATACGCCGATGTGTTTAGGCTATACAAACCGGAATTTTGCGGTTCGAACTTGATTTTGACGACTCCATGGCGTAGTGGCTTAGTAATGAATTGCAGCGCAGGGGACCACGGGTTCGAATCCTGCACGAAACAAGTATATCTAATGCCTAAGTATAAATTATTGTTCCAGGTTACAATTTTAGTAGTTAACAATCAAAAATTTACTGTTTGTAAACTGCCTCCACAATACAGGAAATAATTTTTACGTGGTAGAGCAATGCTGCAGTTATATTAGTAGTGTAGCTGTAGCACGAATGGGTCAACTCGACCGGGGAAGGACCTTGCTCTCACAGAATACCAGCGTAATATAGCAGCCTAAAACTGCTGTATTTCGTATGGTGAGTGTAGAGACCCGGAGACCCTTTTTACTGGAAATGAGGCATTCCATCTTAGTTCTCACGAGTGACAACGCATCTGCATTTTGATTCGCAAACGAGGATAGATGTAGATGTCTATGGGCCACAGCAACCACTTACCATCAGGTTGACTGTGTGCTCGTTTGTCACCCTATCCTATAAAAAAATATTGTCCAACCCATAATATCTCGTGGGTTTCGTGAAAAGCGACAAAGTGAAATGAAGCAGGAGATAGGCAGCAGCACCATATTACTGATTACAAGTCAAAATACAAGAATGCTGCGGTTGCCGACCCGCATGTCAAGACATTATGTAATCCTGTTTCTAAAATGTTTTTGTATGGCTATGGAAGAGCGGGAGTCTCTGACACAAGTTCTTTATATAGGATAAGGGTGACAAACGAGCACACAGTTCACCTGGTAAGTGGTTGCTGTGGCCCATAGACATCTACATCTATACTCGATTATGATTGCTGTCGTCTGCATACCCATAGATACCGGGAATGAGCAGATCATTTATATGCAGCAGGAAAAGAGTTGCGGAGAGAACGGACCCCCGAGGAACTCCGGTGTTTGTCACGATAGTACAGGACGAGCAGCCATGGATGACGACTGAGAAATCGTTCACTCAGAAACTCCTTCACTCAGTCAATCAGGCCAGGGCATAGCCGTACGCTGAAAGCTTGCCCAATAGACTAGCATGCCAAACCCTGTCAAAAAGCCTTCGAAACATCGAGGGTAACAGCAAGTGCTTCACCACTGTTCTCGAGGGCTTCGCCCCATATGTGAGTGGCATACGATAGAAGGACCCCAGTTGATCGATTTCGGCGAAACCCGTGCTTGTGTAAATCGTTAAATGCTTAATGAAATAAAAATATTATTATTATTATAACAATTGCTTTTTAGAAAGCGCTTCATCCATATCGCCAAGGGCATAGTGGACAAAGGTCAAATGACAGTAGTGAGGGAACCGGCTTTGGTCGAGAAGGGCGCGACAGGAGAAGACGTTATCAACAAGGTTAGTTTCAGAATAAATTTGTATTTTCTATCCTGTTCTATGTCACGGAATAAATATGTATAAATAATATATATATATGTATATATATATATGTGTATATGTATATATATGTATATATATATGTGTATATATGTGTGTATATATATATATATATATATATATAAATATGTGAAGCTTCCTTTCTATGGGCTTCCCGAGATATTGTGCAAATAGATCATCAGTTTCCTTGCTGATCGGAGCATCAAGGTCGTAGTAGACGGTGCATGCTGTCATTTCAAGCCTATCAACGCTGGTGTTCCACAAGGCTGCGTGCTATCACCAACACTATTTCTCCTGCATATCAATGATATGTTGCAAACTAGTAACATTCATTGCTATGCAGACGACAGCACTGGTGTTGCCTTATATACAGGCCGTGCCAATATTTCTTGGGAAAAAGTCGCCGAGTACCGGGACAAACTTGTGTCTGAAGTCGAGATTTGATGAACAAAGTCTCGGATTGGGGGGACTAAATCTAATCCAGTTCAATCCCCAGAAGACACAAGTTTGTGCGTTTAACGCTTAAAAGAACCCCTTTGTCGTATCTCCTCAGTTTCAAGGCACTCCCCTTGCTGCCTCAGTTAGCATCGGAATCCTCGGCGTTGACATATCGAATAGTGTGCAATTGCGTGGTCACTTGGAAGGGAAGGCCAAATTGGCCTCTAAAAACATTGGCTCAGCAGAGCGAGACTGTATTTTATGCCGGCATATCGCTTGCAACTTTACAAAGCGCAAGTTCGGCCTCACATGGAATACTGTTCTCATCTCTGGGCCGGGGCACCCCAGTGCCAGCTCCTTCCACTTATCCGCATCCAGCGCAGAGCAGCTCGATACACTGGCACTGCCATATATAGGGATGTTGCATCCCTTTGCATTTTCTATCGAATTTACCACGGGGAGTGCTCTGAGGAATTGTTCGGATTAATTCCAGCTGCCAAATTTCGCGAACGCACGTTGCGTCAAAATTCACGATACCAGCCTCACCATCTGGATGCTTGGCGGTCCACGACTGTAGGTTTTACTAGGAGTTTTCTTCCTCGTACAACTTCTCTGTGGAATTGTTTACCACCGGGGATTTTTCCGGATCGATACCATCCTCACCATCTGGATGATTGGTGGTCCACCACTGTGCAATTTACAAGAACTTTTCTTCCTCGCACGACTTCCTTGTGGAATCGATTACTACCAGCGATTTTTACGGACCGATACGACTTAGGGACCTTCAAGAAAAGAGCTTGCACCTTTCTAAAAGGCCGGCAACGCATCTGCAATCCCCCTGGTGTTGCGGTTGTTCATGGGCGGCGGTAGTCACTTACCTTCAGGTGAGCCGCATGCTCGTTTGCCCCCTCTTCTATGCGTATCGTGCCAAGAACGCTGGGTTCTTGGCACGATACCACGAGGAGTAGGACTGTATGATAATCAAGTTATTAGTTTTAAATATTTTTATTACATTTTTATTTATATTGTATATTATGTTATGTAAATAAATGTATATTATCAATAATGAAAAGTTAAAAAAAATATTTTAAAGAATATCATATTGTTTTCAATAAAATGGTTATGGTATCAAGTAGCAACATTTATTAATTAAAAAAAAAACAATGTTAATACGGAATGTAACGTAGTTTGTCTCTCCAACATCGTGGGAAACCTCAAAGTGATTTTTAAAGTCATTGACCTCAACTAGCAGAGGAAATACCGAATACCCAAGATATTACCTTGTCCACTATTAAAGATTTCAAATATAGAGACGTGATTACGTCTGAAATCTATTTCGTCCTCTAGGACGTCCTTTAAAACAAAGGACATCTGACACTCTGACAACCCTAAATAGTTGTGATAAACGAGTTCACCTGATAGTAAGTGGATGCTGTGACAGGCAGTATAATTTCAAGCCGTGATGCCATTCCATCTTCTTTATTTAAAGTTGATTGCAGATGTCCATTGCGGTAGCCACTTAACATCAGGTGGGCTGTTATTACATTTGTCATTCCAATTCTATAAAAAAAATATGGTTGACCCTGCAGGCCATCCCTAGAACTTCCCGCTTATAAAAACATTAAATCTATATATAGGTTATCGTTTATTTTTTTGTTTTTTTTTTTTGATAATCTTTGAAACGGCTTGACCGATTGACTTGAAAATCCAATCAGCCGGAAGTCTCAATGAACACTTTCAAACGCCGTATCGCCCATCTCGATCGGTTGGTTCGTTCTAAAGATATCGTACAACAAATATTTTTTAGGACCTCGAAATGTGGAGATCTGATGAAAACTCGCATTATTAAAATCGGACCGAAATATATAACTTCCTACTTTTGCAAATTATTAATTTTCAAGGTGGTAAGTTAAAAAAAACAATAGTTCAATTTAATAATTAAAGTATAATTAAAGTATATAGTTACAGAAAAACAAGACAATGAAATATATATAAGTACTAATTAAATATAAAAAGATTAACGGTAGGTAGCCATTCAACGAGGAAATGTAGCATTTTATGTAACTTGTTAACGTGCAGAGTTCTTGCCACTATACACTATATTATACAGGGTTATTTTGCAATATACGGCCAAGTTTGCAGAGAAGGTTTAAAATAAGTAACATAGGCGAATTGTAAAGAAAAAAGCCGACTAAGTAGAGTTGGATTCGCGCATGATGTTTCTCGTAGGGGAGCCTCTTTTAACTTTTGATTTATTTTTATTTTTATTATTAGTTGTTATAGCGGCAACAGAAATACACATTCTGTGAAAACTTCAACTGTCTATCTATTACGGATCATGGGATACGGACGGACGGAGGGTGGAGGCTTAGTAATAGGGTCCCGTTGGTTACCCTTTACCCGTTGGGTACGGAACCTTAAAAATGAAACATAACCCAGTATAATATAGAATAATATGTTTTACATACATGCACAAGCTAGTTATACCAGTTATACAAGTTACTCGACTCCAGAGTCAGTAATTCCTTCGCAGCGCAATGTATACGCTTTTACAAAAGTCACAGAAATTAGACAGGAATTATCTATGAAATTATTATGCATTGCAGAATTATTTATGCAAAAATTGTTTGGTTAGGGTTATTATACTATTAAAGAGTGTACGTGATTGATATATAGGTACTTACTTACAATAGTGAATAACGTGATCGATGGCATGCAAACGAAAATTACTTTCAATAAGTATTCTTTTAATCTATATTGAATACAAGTGGTAACAATAAACATTTTTTACAACCGACTTAAATATAAATATAATTTATTTTCACTGTCCACTATTGTGCGATTCACTAGGACTTTCTTGCACGACTTCTTCGTGAAATTGTTTACCACCGGCGATTTTACCGGACCGATGTGACTTGGGACCTTCAAGAAACGAGCTTACTCCTTTTCTATCGACTTCAAAAAGGAGACGGTATTCAATTCGACTGTATGTTTTTTTTTTTAATTTATTTATTTATTTATTTGTATGGATCTCCAACAGTTGTACATATTAAATTACTTCTAATACATGCCTTAGGTACATCTACAAATTACTATGTACTACCAATTATAGGAGAACACATCTTTCTAAAACAGTGTTTATAATTTGCCTATTTTAATGGTAGTTGTAACAAAAATAAGTTTAACGAACAAAAGATAGATAATAATTTTTGTAACATAAATAAAAGTTAAGTTTAGCATAAAGTTAGTGACTAATTAATTTTCCAAACTATCACTACATTTTTTCATAAAAAGTGTGAGCCCGTCACGTTATGTGTGTTACCTCATAACTTTTTTCTGGGTGAACCGATTTCGATGATTCTTTTATTTGAAAGCTGTTGCTTCTTTCATGTGGTTCCCATATAAATTTGATCAAGGTCTGACCAACAGTTTTTGAGTTATTCTTAATTTATATTGAAGTCGGTTGTACAAAATTTTTAATTATTAAAAGACCGGTAAATCACCTGCAATTCCGCTGGTGTTGTAGTTGTTCATGGGCGGCGGTTGACACAACATCATGTGAGCCGCGGTTGACATAAACCATCATGTTCTTTTTTTATAGGATAAGGGTGACAAACGAGCACACAGTCCACCTGATGGTAAGTGGTTGCTGCGGCCCATAGACATCTACATCTATCCTCTGTTACAAATCAAAATGTAGATGCGTTGTCACCCGTGAGGACTAAGATGGAATGCCTCTTTTCCAGTAAAAAGGGCCTCCGGCCACCTGCACTCACCAAGCGAAACGCAGAGGTAAACCTCTACTTCACGCTGGTTTTCTGTGAGGTCGTGGTACTACCCCGGTTCGAGCCGGCCCATCCGTGCGACAGCAAAAGCTGCCGCGTGGCTCTACCACTGTTAATTGTGATGTTAAATGTGAGCCACATGCTTGTTTGCCCACTCTTCTATGAAAAGAACACCCGTAAAAACTTACCGTTGGACGCACACATATGCACCTAAATCACATTGATCTCTGAGGATTTCAAAAACTGTCCTGCAGTCCTAATTTCGATCACGGCGGCCAGTATCAGCACAGGACGGGAGTATGATGCACGAGTGTGAACGCAAGCACAAGTGCACTCTATTCCCTCACTCTCATAGTCCGATTGGACGGTAGCCCGACACGACCGGAGAGAGATCAAGCGTCGGGCCCGGATCTATATCAGGTCCGGTTTTACGTGCTTTCCTGTACATTGGTGTAACACCGCCAATTTCCTGACCCCCGAGTACTATTAAAGTATGACAAAAACATACATAACTGATTTCGAACCTGAAAAAACGATCTCAAAAATTGCTACATCAGTAATAACCAAACCGGGGCAAACCTACTACTATGTAAACGACGTATCATCACTTTCGTCATCCTTTTTACGGCCACCATTGCACTTAAGACTTTTCAAGAATTCTCTAGGAAGCGTAATTGTCTTGAAATGCCTATATTCACCATGTCCAGCTGGCATATAGATCGCAGAGAAACGGTCCATATTTCTTCTTTATCATCATCAGTCCATAAAAGTCTACTGTAGGTGACTCTCTCGGTGCAGGGAGGACTGGCCTCCCATATGGTTTATATTATGGTTCTCATTGGAAACCATAATATAGCTGCAGCGTGGCACACTACCACTCACATGTGTTCACTTTCGCCCCGATCACACCATTTGACATTTGAACCCTTGTTTTGTTTAAAGAAATCTGATATTACAAATCCGGTACTTAAATCTTAAAAGTTATCAAAAACGACCTCTACAAATTAACTATAACTACAAAAACTTTACGGTCAACTTGGCAACACTACTCTGTAGTAAAATAGATAAAAATCTAAATTGGAGACCCCATATTCAAAAAAGCGGTCTAGTGCGAGTCGGCCTCGCCGTAGTTCCGTAGCAGCAAGTAACATAATTTACGAATTACGACGTTTAAAAAAACTACTAACTAGATCTCGTTCAAATCAATTTTCGGTGGAAGTTTACATGGTAATGTACATCATGTATTTTTTTTAGTTTTATCATTGTTTTATTTTAGAAGTTTCCGGGGGGGACACACTTTACCACTTTGGAAGTGTCTCTTGCACAAACTGTTCAGTTTAGAAAAAAATTATATAAGAAACCTCAATATCATTTTTGAAGACCTATCCATAGATACCCCACATATATGGGTTTGATAGAAAAAAAGTTTTTGAGTTTCAGTTGGAGAACCCCCAAAATTTATTGTTTTTTTTCTATTCTGTGTGAAAATCTTAATGCGGTTCACAGAATACATCTACTTACCAAGTTTCAACAGCATAGTTCTAATAGTTTCGGAAAAAAGTGGCTGTGACATACGGACGGACAGACATGACGAATCCAGGGTTCCGTTTTTTGCCATTTGACTACGGAACCCAAAAATGTAAATGAAGGCAATTTTATTGCCTTCATTTACATTTTTGTACTTGTACATAAAATTAAAATAGCTCTTTCGACGTATTATGCATACGCTCAGTTATACTAAATTACGGAATAGTCATCTGGGGCAACTGTACTGACATAGATAATATTTTCAAATTGCAAAAAAATGTAGGAAATCAAATACAGGAAAAACGGACTCGTGCAGATAGGGTTGCCACATTTTTTTTTCTGAATAAATATAGTTTGTTTTGGGAAATTAAGGAAATAAGTAAGTACACATTTATTTTTAATCTTTATGCATTTTTCATACAAATTTGTTATTCCTCTTCGATTTGGCAATCAACCTTTAAAATCATTATAGGCAATTTAGATTCATATTAAAATAAATTAACAATTAATTTTTTAATTAAATGTATTTTCTATTTCTCTCTTCTTTCCATTTAACATTCATGACAGAAAAAATTATTTCCGTAAAACTTATTTGTTCCAGACTTTCAGTCACAGTTAATATAAAAAAATCGCGACATTTGAATTAGGGTAAATAATACAATATTTTTCGTGCTACATTATTTTTCTATAATATAATTGACTGAAATATAATACGATAATATACATTATAGTGCGTGTGGCAACCCTACATGCAGACCCCATTTTAGAAAACTTGGTATATTTAACGTTACCGTTATAGCCTATTAAAGTCCACTGTTGAACATAGGCCTACCCCATAGATTGCCTCATAGGGAGGATGTTTGCCATAGTTAGAATGTTACTGTTGATTAAATAATTTTACCTCTCAGTGGGTCATGTGCTCCTGGTAGATTATCTTCTGTACATCCATCCATTATAGCCTATTAAAGTCCACTGTTGAACATAGGCTTACCCCATAGATTACCTCATAGGGAGGATGTTTGCCATAGTTGGAATGTTACTGTTGATTAAATAATTTTACCTCTCAGTGGGTCATGTGCTCCTGGTAGATTATCTTCTGTACATCCATCCATTATAGCCTATTAAAGTCCACTGTTGAACATAGGCTTACCCCATAGATTACCTCATAGGGAGGATGTTTGCCATAGTTAGAATGTTACTGTTGATTAAATAATTTTACCTCTCAGTGGGTCATGTGCTCCTGGTAGATTATCTTCTGTACATCCATCCATTATAGCCTATTAAAGTCCACTGTTGAACATAGGCTTACCCCATAGATTACCTCATAGGGAGGATGTTTGCCATAGTTAGAATGTTACTGTTGATTAAATAATTTTACCTCTCAGTGGGTCATGTGCTCCTGGTAGATTATCTTCTGTACATCCATCCATTATAGCCTATTAAAGTCCACTGTTGAACATAGGCTTACCCCATAGATTACCTCATAGGGAGGATGTTTGCCATAGTTGGAATGTTACTGTTGATTAAATAATTTTACCTCTCAGTGGGTCATGTGCTCCTGGTAGATTATCTTCTGTACATCCATCCATTATAGCCTATTAAAGTCCACTGTTGAACATAGGCTTACCCCATAGATTACCTCATAGGGAGGATGTTTGCCATAGTTAGAATGTTACTGTTGATTAAATAATTTTACCTCTCAGTGGGTCATGTGCTCCTGGTAGATTATCTTCTGTACATCCATCCATTATAGCCTATTAAAGTCCACTGTTGAACATAGGCTTACCCCATAGATTACCTCATAGGGAGGATGTTTGCCATAGTTAGAATGTTACTGTTGATTAAATAATTTTACCTCTCAGTGGGTCATGTGCTCCTGGTAGATTATCTTCTGTACATCCATCCATTATAGCCTATTAAAGTCCACTGTTGAACATAGGCTTACCCCATAGATTACCTCATAGGGAGGATGTTTGCCATAGTTGGAATGTTACTGTTGATTAAATAATTTTACCTCTCAGTGGGTCATGTGCTCCTGGTAGATTATCTTCTGTACATCCATCCATTATAGCCTATTAAAGTCCACTGTTGAACATAGGCTTACCCCATAGATTACCTCATAGGGAGGATGTTTGCCATAGTTAGAATGTTACTGTTGATTAAATAATTTTACCTCTCAGTGGGTCATGTGCTCCTGGTAGATTATCTTCTGTACATCCATCCATTATAGCCTATTAAAGTCCACTGTTGAACATAGGCTTACCCCATAGATTACCTCATAGGGAGGATGTTTGCCATAGTTAGAATGTTACTGTTGATTAAATAATTTTACCTCTCAGTGGGTCATGTGCTCCTGGTAGATTATCTTCTGTACATCCATCCATTATAGCCTATTAAAGTCCACTGTTGAACATAGGCCTACCCCATAGATTACCTCATAGGGGAGAATATTTGCCATAGTTGCCACGCTTGGTATTGCTAATCGCCATGGATTGCTAACCGCAGTTTTTTTTTAGTCGTTATTAGGAAGTCGCTGCTGCCCATCTCCTGATTTGTTTCCCTTTGTCGCCTCTTACAAAACCCACGAGATGATATGGGGTAGTGGATATTCTTACACCGCCACTACACGGCACTTACACTTACATCTACTTACATTATCGAATTTTGTAAGTTCGTTAAAAAACACTTATATTTCATTTCATCAAACATTTATACGTGGTAGAGCCATGCTGCAGCTATTTCAGTTGTAGCACGAATGGGTCGGCTCGACCGGGGAAGGACCACGCTCTCACGGAATACCAGCGTAAGATGGCAGCTTGACACTGCTGTGTTTCGTATGGTGAGTGTAGAGAACCGGAGACCCATTTTACTGGAAAAGAGGCATTCCATCTTAGTCCTCACGGGTGACGACGCATCTGCATTTTGATTCTTTATCGAAGATAAATGTAGATGTCTATGGGTCACAACAACCACTTACCATCAGGTGGACTGTGTGCTCGATTGTCACCCTATCCTATAAAAAAAAAACACCCAAATCCACTTTGTCCAAATCTTCTTCATTTGACAAAAGTAATAATCGAACTCAAAATAAATTGAATATTTAATTCTCAAAATGAAAATGATTTACACCTAGTTACCATACGATGGCACTCGTAATTAAAAAAATAAATTAAATCATAGACAACTACTAAGCCAGGACGTTATAGCTTGTTATACATATATATTATAAAGACAAATTAAGTATAATATTTCTTATGACGTGCAAATTATAAATCATTAAAATGAGTAATCGCTAGGTTTCCTTGTCCGCAGCTTCAAGACATCCACTACGACGATGTGTTCAGTACTTACGTCGAAGATCCCAGAATTCTGGATGTAGTATCGCAACTGATCGGTTCGGACAGTATTGTCGCGACTCATTCAATGCTGATAAATAAGCCACCTGGAACTGGAAGACATCCGCCACATCAGGTGAGTTGGGGCGCTACGTCATAGCAACACTGCAGCGTAATAATGATGATCGAAGACCGAATTTCGGTCACGGCCACCAGTCTCAACGGAAACTAGCCATCTACGCAGGACAGAGTTATAGTGGCCGAGTGTATGCGCAAGCACAGGTCGTCAGTGCTCCCTCACTCACACAGTCCGATAGGACAGCAATCCGACACGACCGGAGAGAGATCAGAGGCATGGCCAACTGCTTTACATGCTTTCCAAGGCACGGGGTTGAAACACCGCCAACTTAGTAGTACACACAAATGGTTGTTCCGTGCGGGTTTCGAACCCGCTGCTCGCAGCATCACAAATTGCTAAGCCACTGCGCCACGGAGCCGTCAACCATTCAGGATTTATTATTATCATTCTTCTTCATTTCTAGTTCTGAGCCACTTGCTTCCATCAACTTCCTACATTTCATACTTGGTCGTCACTCCATTTAGTGCAAGTCTGCCCTACACTCAACTTGCCGGTACGAGGCTATTTATTTATCTATTTAAAACCTTTTTTTATATACCATAAAGGTGACAAACGAGCACACAGTCCACTAAGTAAATGGATGCTGTGGCCCATACTTGTCTATATTTAACTTCAATTAAGTATCAAAATTCAGATGCGTTGTCAGCCCTGAGGACTAAGATGAAATGCCTCGTTTCCAGTAAAAAGGGTCTCCGGTTCTCTACACGCTGGTATTCTGTGAGAGCGTGGTCCTTCCCCGATCGAGCCGACCCATTCGTGTTACAACCACAGATTAAATAATAGTACAACTATAATATAGTTACAGCGTGGCTCTGCGTATATATTGTGTTATGGCATTCCCTTACAAAGGTCGGACTTAATGCCTAAAGTCTACCAGTCAACCCATGGATTTGTGAGAATTTTACGTATGTGTAACAATAAAAAAAATAAAAAAGAGAAGAGAATAGAGTCTTAAATAAACATTATAGGTATGTAACAAAATATACTTATTATTATATAATATCGTAAGTAAATACATATTATTATCATTTTATAATCATTCTTATAACAAAGGTTACCAAATGATTATTTTTTAATTACCATTTCTTTACCTTTGTTGTAAGTTTATGTTATATATCAATTTGTATGTAATATGTATACACATACACAAAACATATATGTTTTGTATATGTTTGTAGATTGTGTATATATATATATATATATTATGAGCGCCGGAAGGATTACTTTCACGGAGGTGCATCTGCATCTATTCATTATACTATTAACTAATATAAAATATAGAATTATACATGTATATTATGTAGATAAATGTAATGTCAAATTCAAAATTATATTAAAAAAGAAGGTATTTGATTGAATATATTTCGTTCATCGATAATTTAAAATTAAAAATTTAGTACAACCGACTTCAATATAAGTTATTAAGAATAACTCAAAAGGGACCACACGAGAAGTACCAGCTTTCAAATAAAAAAAGAATTATCGAAATCGGTTCACCCAGTAAAACGTTATGAGGTAACACACATAAAAATAACATCCAGTCGAATTGAGTACCGTCTGCTTTTTGGAAGTCGGCAGAAAACTCTTAATCTCTGTAATCGATAGTTGGCATTATTGCTCGGTGAAGCCCGCTGCCGCGCGACATGCTCAGTGTTCACAGGGAATGAGTAGAGGAGGATACCGAATTTATTGACAAGGTTATGAACAAATTTGGACAGACTACTTCAGTTTTTCTATTTATTTTCTTACCTGACAGGGGAGTGCAAGAGTACCCTCTCATACCCTGCTGCTGGCGCCCATGTATTTATATGTATATTTTTTTTTCAATTTTTTCTTATTTAAAATAATGGTCTTTTTATTTTTGGCACCTGTTACATTACTTACACATGTCCTGGGTCGACTGGGAGAGAATGCTAAAAGGTTTTAAGTCCGCCCTGTGTATTCCTTTTAATTAAGAGGTACAATTAAGAATAAATAAATAAAAATAAATAAGTATTTACACATATTTATAAATATATACATATATACAAGTATATATACTACTCGCGCAGATAAAGAATGGGATTATAAATGGCGATGTCTATACTCACACCCGCCAGTAACAAACACAAAAATAACGTTATTTTTGCGTTGTGATAAACGGTAGAGTGCTTCGAATTTCAGGCCCCAGTAACAAAGCATAAATATTCAATTTACCTTTGTTTTATGAAGTATCAATTACCAACATACATAAATGGTATTTGTTAATTGATTTAGATATATAATATTTAGCTAATAATTTAAGTACATAATCCTATTACATCCCATGGATGTGCGTAGACAGCGACGATTACCCCGCGTCTACTGGTGCTTCTATAGGTCCCAAAGAGATAATCCCGACACAGACCGACTCATCGACCACGTCCAAATGGCTGCAGGCTCCGTGCTACAACAGGTCCCATCCGCAGAAATCGTGATGCTTGGTGATTTTAACGCCCACTACGCTGAAACTCAGCCATGGTTTGGTCACTCCTGTAAAATTGCAACACGCTATAAGCAGGAGTGCTACCGGGCCTGGGCTGACGCATCAATGTCTCGGGATGCAAACACTAGTGCTCTTAAAAAGAAGTATAATTCCGCCTCCAGGTCCTTCAAAAGTGTCATTGCCAAGGCAAAGTCACAGCACATCGGCAGCATTGGCGAGAAACTAGTCTCTTTCGGGAACACGTGCATTCTGGTCTCTCGCCAACTAAAAAAGGCGACCGCTCAGATCAGTCCAACTACATGCCTATCGCTATCACCGCCTTGTTCTCCAAAATAATGGAAACGATTATTACCTGCCAGCTCATGCAGTACCTTGAGTATCACTAGCTGATTAGTGACCGCCAGTACGGTTTCCGTCGGGGTCGCTCAGCTGGTGATCTTCAAGGTTACCTAGCTCATAAATGGGCGGAGGCAGGGGAGTCCAAGGGGAAGACGTTAGCCGTTACTTTGGACATAGCGAAGGCCTTCGATCAGGTTTAGCACAAAGCGCTTCTTTCAAAGCTTCCTTCCTATGAGCTTCTCGAAATTGTGCAATTGGATCACCAGTGTTCTTGCAGATCGGAGCATCAAGGTGGTAGTAGACGGTGTATGCTCCGATTACAAGCCCATTAACGCTGGTGTTCCAGAAGGCTGCGTGTTATCACCAACGCTGTTTCTTCTGCATATCAATGATATATTGCAAACTGGTAACATTCATTGTTATGCACCGGCCGTGCCAATACTTCTCGGGAAAACGTCGCCGAATACCGGAACAAACTTGTGTCTGAAGTCGAAACTTTATTGAACAAAGTCTCGGACTGGAGGCGACTAAATCTAGTTCAGTTGAATCCCCAGAAGACACAAGCTAAAACGAACGCCTTTGTCGTATCTCATCAGTTTCAAGGCACTCCCCTTGTTGCCTCAGCCAGTATCTCATCCTCCTCGATGTTGACATATCGAGTTCCGTGGTCACTTGGAAGAGAAGGCCAAATTGCGCTCTAAATAGCTTCGCGTGCTCAGCAGAGCGGGACAGTATTTCATGCCGGCACATCCCTTGCAACTTTACAAGGCGCAGGTTCGGCCTCACATGGAATACTGTTCCCATCTCTGGGCTGAGGCTCCCCAGCGCTAGCTCCTTCCATTCGACCGCATCCAGCGTAGAGCTGTTCGAATCGTCGACGACCGAGTTCTTTCCGATCGGCTTGAATCACAGGCACTGCGTAGAGATGTTGCATCTCTTTGCGTATTTTATCGCATCTACCACGGGGAGTTTTCTGAGGAATTGTTCTGACTAATTCCAGCCGCTCAATTTCACCATCGCACATCACGACAAAACTCGCGATACCATCCATGCTATCTGGATGATTGGCGGTCCACCATTGTGCAATTTACAAGAGCTTTTCTTCCTCGCACGACTTCCTTGTGGAATCGATTACCACCAGCGATTTTTAAGGACCGATACGACTTAGGGACCTTCAAGAACAGAGGTTACTCCTTTTTAAAAGGACGGCAATGCATCTGCGATTCCCCTGGTGTTGCAGTTGTTCATGGGCGGCGGTAGTCACTTACCATCAGGTGAGGTCGTTTGCCCAAAAAAAATAATTCAATTAAATTTAATATATTATGTACTAATGATTTTTTCCAATAACTAAAAATTTCGAAATACTTTAAAGCAATATACTTATAGACCATTTTAAATAATATATTATTGTTATTTATAAAAAAATGATATAACGTTATAAGCATCGCTTTCGCCGCGTATCGTGTATGCTTGGCAGTACAGGCTAGGCAAGCCGCCATTTCTAATCCCATTCATTATTCGCACGAATAGTACACACAAATACATAAAAACAAAATCAATAGATTCGTATAAATACATCTATTTAACTGAGAGAGAGAGAGAGAGAGAGAGAGAGAGAGGCTTCCACTCGAGAACCAATTTTTTACAGATTTATTTTTTATTTTTAGGACTTATACTACTTCCCATTCCGACCTGCGGATATGATTGTTGCCGCCTGGACAGCCATAGACCACGTTAATAAGGAAAACGGTTGCCTGTACGTTATTCCCAAGTCCCATAGGAAGCACGGTCTAGTAGCCCACTCGATGCCATCGGTGAGTTTTATTAATTATTATTATTAAATAATAAAAAATAGAATAATCTTTATTCAATACAGACTACCAAACATTTATTGAAAGTCATTTAAGTGTTACCACTTCGGAAAAAGCTTCTGTCCTGGGAAGAACCAGCAAGAAACCCAGGGACATCTTTTAAAAGAAATGTATTTACAATATAATGTTTCGTACAATTAGTAGGGAAACATTAATAAACACCATGGTAGCGATCACCTCATTCCCAGGGGTTATTATCAATCATGTAATATTTTTGGGCATTGTTAGCATGCAGTGGTTACGTAGGAATTTCCGCTACCACATATCATCCCAAAGGTGTCGTAAGAGATGGAATGGACAGAGGGAAACTGAAACAGGAGATGGGCAGAAGAGAGCAGCATCTTTTTTTATAGGATAGGGTGCCAAACAAGCACACAGTCCACCTGATGGTAAGTGGTTGTTGTGGCCCATAGACATCTACATTTATCCTCGTTTGCGAATCAAAATGCAGATGCGTTGTCAGCTGTGAGGAGTAAGATAGAATGCCTCTTTTTCAGTAAAAGGAGTCTCCGGTTCTCTTCACTCACCATACGAAACACAACAGGGTTGGGCTGCTATTTTACGCTGGTTTTCTGTGAGAGCGTGGTCCTTCCCCGGTCGAGCCGACCCATTCGTGCTATAACTATACTAGTAATATAGTTGCAGCATGGCTCTACCACGTCGTAAAAATTAAATCGCAACTTTTTAATGATGATGACACTGTGTGACCAATACGTGGTAGTGCCATGCTATGCTGCAGCTGTGTTGTGGTTGCAGCACGAATGGGTCTTCTCGACTGCGTGTAGAGAACCGGAGACCCTTTTACTGGAAACGAGGCGTTTCATCTTAGTCCTCAAAGATGACAACGTATCTGCATTTTGATTCTTAATTGAGCATAAATATAGATGTATCTGGGCCATAGCATCCACTTACCATCAGATGGACTTTGTACTTGTTTGTCACCCTTATTCTATAAAAATTATTACGTGGTAGAGCCATGCTGCAGCTATATTATGGTTGTAGCACGAATGGGTCGGCTCGACCGGGGAAGGACCACGCTCTCACAGAAAACCAGCGTAAAATAGCAGTTTAACGCTGTTGTGTTTCGTATGGTGAGTGTAGAGAACCGGAGACCCTTTTTACTGGCAAAGAGGTATTCCATCTTAGTCCTCACGGGTGACAACGCATCTGCATCTTGAGTCTTTATTGAGGATAGATGTAGATGTCTATGGGTCACAGTAACCACTTACCATCAGGTGGACTGTGTGCTCGTTTGTCACCCGATCCTATAAAAAAAAAAAAAAAAAAAAAAAAAAAAAAAAAAAAAAAAAAACAAATATAAGTTCACCTTAGCCCCAGCTAGCGACATCTGGTGAACGTTTTTTTTTATAGGATAAGGGTGACAAACGAGCACTCAGTCCACCTGATGGTAAGTGGTCGCTGTGGCCCATAGACATCTATATCTATCTTTGATTACGAATCAAAATGCAGATGCGTTGTCACCCGTGAGGACTAAGATGGAATGCCTCGTTTCCAGTAAAAAGGGTCTCCGGTATTCTACACAGCAGCGATAAGTTGCTATTTTACGCTGGTATTCTGTGAGAGCGTGGTCTTTCTCCGGTCGAGCCGACCCATTCGTGCTACAACCATAATATAGTTGCAGCATGGCTCTACCACGTATAAAAAGTACGTAAACGTAAATGTAAGATTATTAGCACTCATTAGTGATGCATATAATTATAATATGATGTTATATCAAAACAATATTATCAACACAAAGATCAAAGTAAAATTTTCACAATGGGAAACCTTAAGGAATTTCACGAACGTTACTATTGTATTAAAATGCACAGGAAAAAAAAAACAGCCATTACTTTCCTTTAATGCATTTTGAATTTGCATAATTTCTCGTTATAAAATTTGTGTTGAAATTGGTTCTGGGTATTTCATTTAATTTAGACTTAAAGCTTCTATCCGTATGGACAAATAAATAAGTTTTATTTTTTATAGGATAAGGATGACAAACGAGAACACAGTCCACCTGATGTTAAGTGGTTGCTGTGGCCCTTAGATATCTACATCTATCCTCGATGATGAATCAAAATGCAGAGATGTTGTCACCCGTGAGGACTAAGATGGAATGCCTCGTTTCCAGTAAAAAGGGTCTCCGGTTCTCTACACTTACCATACGAAACACAGCAGTGTTGAGCTGCTATTTTACGCTGGTATTCTGTGAGAGCGTGGTCCTTCCCCGGTCGAGCTGACCCATTCGATCCACAGATACCAGCGTGAAATAGCAGCTTAATGCTGCTGTGTTTCGTATTGTGTGTGTAGAGAACTGGAGACCCTGATTACTGAAAACGAGGCATTTCATCTTTGTTCTCAGAGGTCGCAAGGCATCTGTAATTTGATTATTTATCGAGGATAAATATAGATGTCTATGGGCCACAGCAGCCACTTGCCATCTGGTGGACTGTGTTGTGTGTCACGTTTAATTTACAAAAGAAAATTGTACAAGGAGCAAGTTAAGTTATAACATTGTAACAATCGCACAGGATTCGAACAAGCTGTACCACGGAATAATGGAGGAGTCCCTGGCGCCGGAAGCCGAGCGCGTGCAGCTGGCCATGTCCCCGGGCGACACGGCGCTGTTCCACCCGCTGCTCGTGCACGGCTCCGGCCCCAACGTCTCCACGGTCCGCCTCCATAATGATCTCTACATTCTCACTCACTCACTCACTCACTTCAGATCGTTCACTAGGTTCATTTTCGTCACAGCATATTACAACACCATTGACACAAACAGACAGATGGGCCTCCTCCGCCTTAGACCTTTCTATGTATACGACTACACAGGCTCTGCGGTCTTAATACATCGCGCACTAAGTTACAGTCAATCCTCCGTAACTCCTTCAGTCGACTGCGAGCACGCATGAAGACTACTTAGTTCTTTTTTTGTAAACCGCGAACTTTGTTTTCGATAATCTAACACTGTTTAATTTTGTTTAATGTGACTAAGATAATTCTGTCATTATATGTATGTGCACACTTTGTCAACCTCATTTGTAGTTTATTTCTTCAGATAAGTATATAATTTTATTTCGTATTTGCCCAAAAACAGTAACGTGTCGTAGGTAAATGAAAGTAATATTTACCGTGTTAGGTTTTTTGTTTGTCTTTCGCAGATTGATATAAAGCATGCTCATAACCCACCTATATAACACATTCTGACACATTCGGCAAACCATTTGACAAACTACTTTTTTTTATAGGAGGGGCAAACGAGCATGCGGCTCACCTGATGATAAGTGACTACCGCCGCCCATGAACAACCGCAACACCAGCGGAATTGTAGGTGCGATGCCGCCATTAATATATAATATTTTGCCGCCATAATTTGGTCGGTCTGAAAAAGTCGCTAGTGGTAGTCGATTCCACAAGGAAGTTGATACTTAACTGCCCACCTGACGGTAAGTGGCTGCCACAGCCGACCTAAATCCAACTTTCAACAAATCATGACCGCCGTAAATACATTGCGGATTTTTGAACACTAAGATATATCAAGTTAATCTTTATTATAAATCATAGTCTAGACTATAGAAGGTGGAAATTGAAAATTGTAAATAATTTCATAGGTACAAAATGTAACTTTGTTACGCCGTAATATATTAGCAACCCGCTCTAGCTTCGCCTGGGTGGGATCTATTAATGTAGCTTCATTTAGTTTTTTCTTTTTTTTTTTTGTATAGAATAAGGGTGACAAACGAGCACACAGTCCAGACGTTCGTGCTGCATATTTAATCGAGATGTTTACAAACTTAGCAGCAGGTGGACTGTGTGCTCATTTGTCACTTTTATTCTATAAAAATATAACGATATTAGAATCGAGTCAGCACTGGATTTAACGTTTGCTAAACCGCCTGATTGACTTATTTTCTATGTATTATTAATTAATTTTATCTCAACTTGTGAGTAAGGTTTTGTTAAATAATTATTTCTTGTTTGTTTTTTTTTTCTTGCATTCAGTATTTTATTCACTGGCTGGTGTTACTTGTATTGTTTTTTTTTTATAGGAGAGGGGGCAAACGAGCATGCGGCTCACCTGATGGTAAGTGACTACCGTCGCCCATAAACAACCGCAACACCAGGGAAATTGCAGATGCGTTGCCGGCCTTTTAAAACAGAATAGGTTCTTTTCTTGAACGTATCAATTTTCAAATACCTGCAAATCCGAATCGAGGTTGCGGTTTTAGGAAAGTTCTGGGTCATTAAATAGCTTTTATATTTCTATGTAATATGTAGAACTACCGTAAAGCGATCACCTGCCATTACGCGAGCGGACAGTGCCACTACGTGTCGGTGCAAGGAACGGTACAGGAGCCCGTAGCCAAAGAGATCGAGGCCGAGGCGCGCCGTAGAAATTTCCACATCGATTTCGTGGTGAGACAATCTTGGAACATTTTCCAACTAAAATGACAAATGATTTCTTATATTTATACGAATACTACACATTGAATAACTAATTTTATTTATTTTTAATTCCCGACGTTTGAAAAGCTGGAGGTACCTACTCCGGGTTAACTTTGACATCGGGACGTCGAATCGCCTCAGTCTTTCGTGACCATGGGTGCTGCAAAGCACACGAAACGTCGGGAATTAAAAATAAATAAAATTAAACGCTATACGATCCGTAAAAATGGTTTTTATTCAATAAAATGACAAACTCACAGTCCACCTAATGGTAAGTGGCTGCTGCTGTCCACGGACACGTGCCAATTTCAAACAAAGAAAGCTACAAAAATACAGATGCGAACTATTGCTATTAGTAATAATAAATGTTAGTCGAACAAGATCGTTTATTTAAAAAAAAAACATAATATAAAAAAAATTTATAAATTAGAAAAAAATTGCTTTGAATGTATACTAAATATGTCATGAGCGTATTTTTTTTTATATATAGGATAAGGGTGACACACAACCCATCTGATGGTAAGTGGTTTCTGTAGCCCATATACATCTATCCTCGATGACGAATCAAAATGAAGACGCGTTGTCACCCGTGAGGACTAAGATGGAATGCTTCGTTTACCATACAAAACACAGCAGTGTTAAACTGCAATTTGACGCTGGTATTCTGTGAGAGCGTGGTCCTTCCCCGGTCGAGCCGACCCATTCGAGCTACAACTATACTACTAATATAGCTGCAGCATGGCTCTACCAAATTTATAGAACGCATTATCGAATTAAATTATCGTATGTCAGAGTCCACTATAAGATTTGAAGTACCTTACCTAATCTCATACTTTTCAACGCTTTCACTATTTCATCCATGCTTATCTCATTTTCATCAACATTTATATTAGTTTCTGTGGAAGGTGGCAGATGCTGTACCTGCGATTCCTCTCTTTCAAACAAACTTTCAAAATACTCTTTCCATCTCTTTAACACACATTCTTCTCCTTTTATAATGCTCCCATCTTGACTCCTGATTGTACTCAGCTCCGAGGTAGAAGTTTTTCCTCTGGCTTTTTTGATGGTTTTCCAGAAAAACTTAATGTTTGACTGGAAATCTTCAGTGAGCCTCCTATCGAAATCATCCTTTCGTTCTTCTTTCTTTCTAGACACCATTTCTTTCGCTGCTGTTTTCAATCTTTTATACTTCGTTCTTGCTTCCTTTATCTCGTCATCCGTTGCCTTTTGAACTTTTTGGTTAGCTTTTGTTGCTAACCAATCCAACCACGCTTTCTTCTTTTCTTGCACAACCTTTTGTACATCTTTATCCATCCACACGTTATCATTCTTTCTTCCTTTCCTTCTTTTAGCTACCCCGCATACCTCAATAGCAACATTTACGACCCCTTTCTTAAATGTCTCCCACAAATCTTCAATCACTCCTATCTCTTCTATCCCTTTAAAACTTTCTTTCAGTTTCTCTACATACTCGTCTTTCTTTTCTTTTTCTTGTAGATTTTCCACTTTTACTCTGTTCAAAACACTCGTAGGCTCGGCCACTCGGTGTCGCCACCGTTTAAAGAGGCCACGCATTCGGGCTATGACCAGGAAGTGGTCTGTGTCGAGGCCTACACCGCGGTGTCTAGCACTTTCTTCCTCAGTCTTTCATCCACAATTATAAAATCAATCATACTTCTAGACTCACCCTCATCTCTTGTATACAAATGGATCTTTTTGTGGTCAAACATTGTGTTGGCCACGCACAGATTCCATTCCAAGCATACTTCAAGCAGGTTTCTCCCATTGTCATTCACTCTCTCGTCCCCAAACGTACCCAGAACTCCTTCATACCCATCACACTTTACTCCAACCCATCCATTAAAGTCCCCTAACATCACGATCCGTTCATTTTCTCCGCATTTATTCAAGACCTCTCTCATGCTATCCCAAAATTCCTCTCTCTTTTGTTGTGTTTTTAATGACCCACCTCCACGCAGATCCGTCGGTGCATAGACCCCAAGGATAAACAAGCTAGTGAGTCCGACTTTTAACCTAATCCAGAGGAGTCTTGGGCTTATACATTCATGCTCCATCACACATTCAACCATTCGAGATGAAAGAATCACACCAACTCCCTTACAGCCTCGGCTGGTTTGGGGGACTCCCGACCAGTATGCCGTGTAGGGGCCATGAACCGTGGTGTCACATCCTTTCCTCTTGGTTTCGTTCACGCACAGAATATCAATGCAACGTTCATCCATCATCTGACATACTTCATCTACCTTACCATCCATTCCTCCTCTTACATTCAACGTAGCGAAGCGGCTCTCCGTGGGCCGCTTTTCGCCCCCGCGAGAAACGAGACGTGATGGGTGGCGAACCACATCGCCGCCATTTTGGTTAATTAAATTATTTTTATGATTATCCATTGTGTTCCCACGAATAGCGAGGGAAAGGTTTGTCCCTCCCAGCAGAGCCCCGCATGCCAGGGTAAGGCTAGCCTAATTCTGGGGTCGCCCGGTCCCAGGGCAGTGTGGCACGCTAACGACTAGGCTCGCCCCTAGCCATGCATCCATCCGCGCGGCAGACGTTGGATTGGCGGACGATAGGAATAGGAAAAGGGGAAGGATAGGTGGTGTGAAAAGGAAGAGTAAGGTAAGTTAGGGTAGGTAATAGGAAATGTAGGATATTACCGTCCAGGAGGGCACGGGATAGGACAGTAATAGCTAGGGAAGCCGGGGTCGCATACCCGTATACCATACCACAACTACCGGACAGGTAAATTGGGATGAGTATCCCTCGAATTATATAAAATTTTATGTGGTGTAAAATAAAATATGTCAACTTCAGCTCCAATTTATCAGTCATATTTTTCTACACGGCTTAAGTAACAAATGAATTAATGGTCCACCTGATGGTAAGTGTCTAATGCAGTCCATGAACACTTGAAGCTAACTTCAAACAAAGAAAACCACAGAACTACAGAAGTGACTTAATACGATTATGACGATTAGTGATAATAAATAATAGTCGAACGAATTGGTTTATTTAAATAATTAACACTGAATTTAAAATTTATAAGTAAGGAAAAAAAGCTTTAAATGTATACTACATACTATGTAGTATACATTTTAGTATACAGTATACATTTGTATGTCAGCAGCGTAATTTATAGAACGTATGTATGCAGACTTTCATATGGTGAGTGTAGAGAACCGGAGTCCCTTTTTACTTGAAACGTAACATTCAACTTAGTCCCCAGGGATGAAAACGCATCTGAAAGATTGACGATTGAAGGTCTATCATCAAAAATTATTCCCAGATATTTTAGGGAAAGGACTGTTTCAGACTAGGACAGTCGCAGTTTGTTTTACAATAATTTATTTAAGAAAGATAACGAAAGCAAATGTGCTATGTTATTGTTTATATATTAACATTTTATACGCGGTAAAGCCATGCTTCAGCTATATTATTATGGTTGTAGCACGAATGGGTCGGCCCGACCGCGGTAGAACCATGCTCTCACAGAATACCAGCTTAAAATAGCAGACTTTCATATAGTGAGTGTAGAGAACCGGAGAACCTTTTTACTGGAAACGAAACATTCAACTTAGTCCTCAGGTATGAAACAAATCTGCATTTTAATTCTGAATCGAGAATGGATGTAGATGTCTATGAGTCACAGCATCCACTTACCATCAGATAGACTGTGTGCTCACTAGTAACACTTTTTCTATAAAAAAAAATTACCACTTATCTTGTATCTGTAGCTTTATTTCTTTACGCCTCTAAATTGCACCTACAACTTTACCCGCTTTATATACACTGTAAAAATGTTATCTGTATTTTTCTATTTTGTGGTATACAATAAAAGTAGAATTACTCATCAAAAAAAAATAAAATTGAAGTGTCTGTTTGTAATGTCAAAATAACAGCTCTTTACTAAATGCATAACTAACTAACAGTGGTAGAGCCAGGCGGCAGCTTTTGCTGTCGCACGGATGGGCCGGCTCAAACGGGTGTGGTACCACGACCTCACAGAATACCAGCGTGAAGTAGAGGTTTACCTCTGCGTTTCGCTTGGTGAGTGCAGGTGGCCGGAGGCCCTTTTTACTGGAAATGAGGCATTCCATCCTAGTCCTCACGGGTGACAACGCATCTATATTTTGATTCGCAAACGAGGATAAATGTAGATGTCTATGGGCCACAGCAACCACTTACCATCAGGTGGACTGTGTGCTCGTCTTGTCACCCTATCCTATAAAAAAAAATGCATATGAAGGTATATCGGTACTTATAACAAAAACAATGTTTAAAGTTTTTGTCTGTCTGTTTGTTCCGGCTAACCTCCGGAACGGCTGAACCGATTTTGACGGGAGTTTCACTGGCAGTAGCTGATGTTATAAGGAGTAACTTAGAGGCTATTTTTGTTTCGGAAAAAGAATTAGGGTTCCGCGCAAAAAAAAATTAAAACACATGAAATCCAATCGTAGTAAATTACACGCAGGTGGGAAGTCGCTGGGAATAGCTAGTTTATTCATAAATCTATTGTTCATGTTTTCAGGACACGTGGCGCTACAAGAACAAACTGGTGAGGGGCGTCAAATCAAATCTCTAAGATAGTTTAATGGATTTCGAACTTTACCTAGTAGGGAATAAGGTATATGTTGGGGTGTCATCGCTTGCACTATATTTACTGTTGTAATAATTAGTTTATAAAACAGACAGAGTGACATGTAACATGAGGTGTATTTTTTTGATAACAACCTAAAACATTAAAAAGACTGTGGTTGCCAACCCGACTGCCAAGCGTGGAGATTATGGCAAATGTTCTAGAAGGTAATGTGTGAGAGAGGTGTATGTTCATTTGTATTCAGCTGTAGTAAATGAATGAAATATAGTAGGGATATTATAACATACTACCAATACGCCCTGGCTTTGCACGGGTAATTTCTGGAGCTCGACATCAGCGCAATCTACTGGGTTTTGTGAATCTAATCCGTCCAGAGACATACTCAAACAGTCACAAAAAAAATTAAAATTGGTCTTGCCGTTTAGGAGTAGTGCAGTGACCAAACATATATAAAAAAATTGTACAGCATATATTTGCGGCCAACTTAGTTTGTCCTAAGCCAAAGCGGTTTACCCTAGGCGTGTCAGGATATATTAGTTTAACCCAGGACAATATAGTATGGCCTAAATACTTTAGGTTTAACTTGCTTGGCCTAGGTAGAATTGATTGACTTATTGGATTACCTTACCTACTTTTTTTAATATGAGGAAATGCCAACGTATACCCGCCTCGCGGTGGCAAGGAGGGGTTATGTCGGACTCGCACCGACTAGAACCCCATAGTGACCTTCGCCGCATATTGGCAGGGCCACGGGAACGCTTCTCCCACTGGAGCCACGCTGCGAATACGTTAGGATGTTTCTGCCCCTTGATCTCCACGAACGCCTCGTCTGACTCACTTCGGAGGATGCGGATCCGGTCGCACATCCTCGTGCCCGACATCCAGCGGCGGGAAGTGAGCCGGGATGGTTGCCGCCGCAAATGAAATTGTGCGGTATCCGCGCACGATGCGTATGACCACGCTGTAGATGTAGAATTTAGTTCTGCGGCGCAGGATGGCCAGCCTTTTCGTCCATGTACTGTGCACTGTTTGGCTCTGTGCCTAGGCTCACCACACGCGTAACAGCGTGCGGCTCTATTTATTTCATTGGAGCACATGCTGGCAACGTGACCCATTTCAAGACATCGAAAACAATACATGAGCCTGAGCTGTAGCACCTCCACTCTGGCAGACCCCCAACTCACCCGTACTCTCCTAATGGCCGCAATCTTACACATTGCCGCGACGGAACATCGTACTCAGCACGTCCCCATGCTAATGGGTGTTCGGCGAATTCCCCCGACTTTTATGTTGTCCACTGAACAACCAACTGCATCAGCCATCGCCGCTGCTATCTCTTCTGCGCTGACGGCATCGTCTAGGTCCCTCAGTCGAAATTCGCTTGTTTTGATTGCCCCACTAATTCGCACGTTCAGGTCCGAGAGAACCTCGCGCATTTTTGCCCCCAGCTTATCCGCCTTCGGGTCACAGTCCAAGCCCGTGGTCTCCATCAGGAGTCCGACAGTTACTGCGCATTTAAGGTGAACAGTTTCGATGCCAAAATCTGCCAAATTCTCTTGACCCTTTGTCTTTTAGCCTTCTGCGGCTGCAGAGGTGCCTGTGGTTCCAAGACTTGTGGTTTCGAGGGTTGTGGTGCCGATGCTGACAAACGCGGTGACAGTGTTGTCAAAAATTGACAGCTTTTTCTCGATTTGGGATCCAATACACTCCATGAGGTCCACCTCTCCTTGACTGTTTTTCTGTTGAACTCGCACCGGTCGATCCTGCCTGACCGGCGTACCTGCTATTTGGGATGGGTCGGCCTTCTTCGTCGCTTGCTTAAACTTTCGGTTCTGAAAGCGACTTAAACTTTCGGATACCAGGAGCAATGTCAAATCTGTGAAGGCCCATCTCTTAGGGCATTAATCCCCGGGCGTTTCTGGTTCTAATGAAACCACGGGTACGCCCAATCTCGGGCAGTTTTGGTCCGCGGCGATTTCCCGCTATAACCCATATCTCGGTTGCGTTCCCCTATCCGCCCCCTGGGGACGCGCACGATGGGAAGACTGGCAACTACACGGGCACCTAACCTAACGTAAAAAAATTATACCATACAAATTAACTGAAATTATAAAAACCCTCCCAGAAATGAGAGGAGGCCTGTGCCCAGCAGTGGAACGTATAGGCTGTATCTTTACTTCACTTTTATAAAAAAAGGCATCATGCGTAGAATGTTTTATAGTACATATAGAAAAACTTTAAGAACCCTTAAACAATTTAATTATGAGTAAGAATTTAAGACAAACTATAACAGTTAAGACCAATTACGAACACTCACCAATACGTTGAGAATTCTGCCTTAGCCAAGTTAGTTAACCCTAAAGTATTTAGGCCTAACTAGATTGTCCTGGACTAAACTAGTATATCCTGACACGCATAGGATAAACCGCTTTGGTCTAGGACAAACTAGTTTGGCTCGAAATCGAGTTTTGCCGGTAACATATATAAAAAGATAAAGCTAGTAGAGTTGGCAACCCTACTTGATTATTTTTGCCTAAGTAAGTGCAATTAATGCTGATTCCAACTGGGAGTCGAATCCTGGATGTAATCTGCAACTATGCGATCTTACTACACTAGTCTAAACGAAATTGACCTTGATCAAATTGTATCATTAGAATTAAGAAATATCACATATATTTTTTTTAAATTTCATGTATACAAATGTTTATATATAATGTAAATTATAAATGTAAAAAATTGCGTATATATATATTTTATTTTTACTGTATTTTGTATTCAAAGTTACCATTTAACCACTGATATTATTTGATGTTTTCATGATATAACAAATATTATTTATAAAGATAATCTACATTGTAAGAAAACATGAATTATTAGTTTACAACAATTTTATATATAATCATTCGTTATTGCTGCAAATCTTAACGTAGGTACACCCATTTGAATTACAGTGGAATCACGATAACTCGAACCTCGTTATGTCGTAATCCTCAATAAGACCAGGGGTGGATCTACACATTGCCTTTTTGGGCTGCAGTCCCGGGCCCCATCGATATAAAAGGCCCCCAGCCATTGAAGACAATGGCTAACGAAGCTTTAAAAATAATAATGAAAATTTTATGAATTTTAGTGAAAATGAGGATGAGAAAGTTAATTTTCGACATGAACACATACATCAGTATACATAAAGAAAATAGTTTTTGACAAAATGGTTATTACTTCGATTAATTAAGTAGGGCCCCAAGTAGTGCCCAACTCATTCGCTGTCCACACCTGAATAAGACCACGAAATAAATATAGTAAGGCGGAAAAAATTGCCATTCCCTTCCTCTGAACTCCAATATGCAGTATATCGAATTATTTAAACTTTGTAACTCAAAGAAAATGCTATTTCTCTGCGAGGTATTGATAGTACATATTTTTCTGTAACTTGAATTTCAAAAAGCAGCAAAAGTCTTACTTGGTATACCCCCAACTCATAGGAAAAAGTATCGACCGGCACGAGCTAAGCAGTCAGAGGCGGGGGTACCCACTCGGACAGCGGTTAGACAGCTCAAAAAACCTCAACAGAGGGGGCGTGATGATTGGAAACAATACCAAATCATAAATCATCATCATCCTCATTGCCATTCCCTTTTTAAAATAGATAGATCATAGCAATAAAATCTAAAAGGAACGTTTGTTGCTTCTGTTCTATTGTGTGTACTTTGTACACGTGCAATTAATGAATAATAATTTTCATTCAAATTAAATGAAACGCTCACAAGGCGTATACTTTTGGAAAATCCAAAAGTATACGCCTTGTGAGCGTTTCATTTAATTTCAATGAAAAAAATAAATTGCCAAAATAAATCAATTACACAAAGTATAAAATCTATATAGGCTGTATGGTACATTTGTCCTTTGTCTATCAAGGGCTAAAGAAGAAAATGAAAGTGCCTTTAAAATTTTAATAGCAATAAAATGTAAAAAAAGTTTATTTTTTATCATAGTAGCAACTAGCAATAGAAAATGTTCTTTTATTGAAAATATAAAATGGATTAATTAGTGTTTTCTTGATATACGGCTACTCATATATGGTTATGATAGAGATATTTTAAGACCACAAAATTGCTTGACCTTGACGCGTCGAGAATAATACACTACCTAATAATGCTTCCAACGGGAGCCGTGTAATACATTCATTTAACTTTCTATGTAGCATATCTGTGTACCTTATGTTCGTTTATGTTTGAGGAGAAACAATCATTATCTCGTAATTTTTAGCATTACCCTTGAAATTCCAATTATCGAGATTCCACTGTATATTGAACTTTATATTAGAAATTCACCGACTACTAGCAGTGTAGGAATATCCACTACCCCCATATATTCCCGTGGATGTCGTGAGAGGCGACAGAAGGAATGTGAAACAGGAGATGGGCAGCATTTTCTTAATAACAAGCAGAAAATAAAAACTACCTCCAACCAGCTTACTAACCGTGGCCACTATTGCAAATATCCCCCTCATGAGGCAATCTTTGGGGAGGCCTATTTTCTGCGGTGGACTTTTGATAGGCTCTGATTATGATAGTGATGATATTATTAGACATAACAGCCGTTTATATCATTCTAAGAAGCGTTATTTATTAGATAAGGGTGACAAGCTTGCCCCATAGACACCTACATCTATCCTCGATTACGAATCAAAATGCAGATGTGTTGTCACCTGTGAGTAGGTACTAAGATGGAATGCCTCGTTTCCACTAAAAGGGATCTCCGGTTCTCTACACTCACCATAGGAAACACAGCAACATTAAGCTGCTATCTCACGCTGGTATTCTGTGAGAGCGTGGTCCTTCCCCGATCGAGCCGACCCATTCGTGTTACAACTATACCAGAAATATTGCTGCAGCATGGCTCTACTACGTATAAATCTGTATCCGGTTCTCTACATTCACCTTACGAAACACAGCAGTGTCAAGCTGCTATTTTACGCTGGTATT